ATATACAAGCCAACATCTATAGCCATACAAACCGATGTATTTTGGTAAAAGGTAAAAAGAATTTTCATCAATTACAGGTTTTAAACTTTTTATAAGAAAAATTTATTACATACAATACATCTGAAGCAGTTTGAAAAGTTTAGTTTAGTTGCCCAGTTTATACTGAACATTTTGGCTCTTCCGAATTCTAATGCTGAGTGTGAAAGAGTGTTTAGCCAAATAAATACACGAAAACTAAGAAGAGAAACAGATTAATTACTAAAACAATTAAGGCGAATATCATGTTAGCAAAACAGGCAATTGTCGAAGCTGAAATCTTTTAACTCAGAAAATTACAAAAAAGGCGTGGCAATCGATAGTGACAGTGACCAAACTATTTTGTGGATAGATATATTAAGATGTTTAGGTACTTTGAGGATATTAAGTTTAAAATTAATGAGTATTAAGTTATTTAATTGCATGTCAATGTATTTTTTTTTTCATCAAACGCTGTATTTTTGTCTTAAACACCGTATTTTTATGTGGACAACACGGTATTTTCGATAATCTAATCTGGTATCACTGGTGCGCCAGCACTTTTTATTAGTTTGTGGTCTATATATATACAGCCGTAGACTGAGAAACCTATAGACTAACGATTAGCGTGGCCTCGAGTGAGAAAGTACGATAACGTAGTTTTAGGATATACAATAATCTTTATGACTTTTAAGCACATTTAGATTAAAATTTTAATTGTTCTAAGAACTGAACTGAACAAGATTTACCAATCTTAAACTCACATAACACTTTTTCCACTTACTTGTAAACTCCTTAGATCGCTACGAACTGTCAAAGTTGCTTAGTAAAGTGCAGTTTGCTAAACAAAAAACCGGCACGGAGAAAAGGACAAGCAATCACACCGCTCTGTCTCATTTATATGCAAGGTGTATGCATAAATCTATCTTTTTCGTGTTCGAATGCGAAAGAAGGCATCAATTTTTCTATAGGTTTTTTTGCCTACGTATACAGTAGTGTGATCATGTGGGGCAGGTTCCTGCCATTTTGGCAGGATTGGCCACTTATTTTAGTCTTTTGCATGATTGGTTGACGTTTTTTAAAACCTGGCAGTATTGGGGCATTAAAAGTGGATTTCATTATTGGAACCAAAAATGCCTAAAATGGCAGGGTAGGTACTTTGCCAACATATGGGAGATTTCCCTGTACTTCTCGTATTATGTTTGTATCACATTCATTAAACAACTATAAAAGTTTTATGTAAAGTTGATAATATTAAAAAACAAGTATTCATAAACACGAGTTTATGCTTAATATTTTAATCAGTCATAGAAAAGACACTTAAAATATGTAATATGTATTCCAAATGTCGCAAAGGGGCTGCTATGATTACCAATGTCCGGCGCTGCATGCGAAAAAATATTCTCTCAATAAATTTAATTAAGACAAACAAAAAACAGATTTATAAACAAACATATAGCGTCTGTCTTGCACATTGAACAAGGCATTGGTGTTGGTGAGCATGGCGATTGATTGCATTCAAATCAAAGAAAGATATATTAACCTCCTGAGTACCAGACACGCTTTTTTTTTAAAGTTTCTTCTTAAAACTTTAATATTTCACTGTTTGACCATTTCTTAGTACGGGAAAAATATTAAAAAAATCTATGACAGAAAAAAACGGGTTTTTCACTATGTTCTACACAAAGTACAAGGGCACTTAACTATTATGAACTTCGTATAAGATGTTACGAATTTTTATAGCATATTGAGCAGATAAGAGCAACAAATAATAGATTTTTGAATAATTTTAATATGTTTTTTTTATTAAAATTTTCTAAATCAACAGAAATTAAACTTTTCTTCATAACGTAATATTTGGAACAAACTAAATTCTTCTTATAAACTTACTATACTTTAATAATAAAAACATTAGAGATCAAAATTTTTTTCTTATATTTAATTTTTTTGGAGTTGCATGTATTAATGTTCATGGAAATTAGTAAAACAATTACGATTAGGCGTAAAACATAGATAAATTTCACATTTTTTGCAAAATACCGTAGTTTTTTATCGCAGCCATTCTTCCTACAGCGAAATTGTTTTGTACCGTATTCTGGCAAATGCGCTGCACTTTTGGTATGGTTTTCTTTGGAAGGAACTGGTTTAATGAGAACCTTGCGTTTTTTTATGTTTTGGCTCCAGTTCTTCGTATTCATCTTCACGTTCATCATCACATTCTTCTTCATTATTATTGATCAGTTTTGTACCCAAATTCAGTTTGTACTCTCGCATTTGTACTATATTTTTCTTTAGTGTACCCTTCTCGACTTCTGTCATTCTATAATGCAACCAAGCGTTTACCACGCATAGGTCGAAAAGATGAGAAATTACGCGTATTGTCCACTTTTTTGTACGATTGCGTGATGGGCAAACAGAAAGCATACGATCCGCGAGATCGACACCACCCATTTCGTTATAAATTTTGATAACGTCTGGCCTTCTCATCTTTTCGTATGCCCTATTTTTCTTTGACCATCGCTCGCATTCGACATACTCTTGACCGCAATAACAAGTTGACATCATTAGAACGGGCTTATTATCAAGCCACATAGTCACAGCGAGTTTTTGGTCTTCTCTAACTTTTACTTAGCTACTTCCTCTCACTCTCTTTTTAAACGTCTTTTCATCAGTTAATACACAGTTTTTCGGGATTCTATTCTTCATAATAGTGCCTGTAGCATGAAATCCTAGTCTTAGCAATTCATCACAAAGTTTAGCCGTCGTGAAGAAACGATCAAAAAATAGTATATGTCCCGGGACTAAACTTCTTGTCATATGGATTACGGCTGCTTCTCCCAAACAAAATCCTTGGTTGATTAAGTGAGGGAATGTAGAATCTCCCTGATATAATGCCATGTCGCAAATTATACCTTTTGGCGAGGCTAAGACAAAAACTTTGAGGCCTATTGGGTTGGGTTTGTTTGAACAGTATTGCCGCATTGGACATTTCCCAGTAAAAGGAATAATCATTTCGTCAATACTCATTTCCTGAGGACGATTTTGTTCATGACATCCGGCTAATATGCGATCAAATAAAGGCTGGACTTTCCATATTTTTTGACTTTTTTGTTCGTTGGTCACTTCTGGGTCATAAACGCATTTTAATCTTAGTCTAATGAAAAAAAATCTATTACGGGTCATAGCTCTGGCTATTATTGAAACTTTCCATTTTTCAGACCAATACATGGAAATTTGTGAATATTGTAATGAGAACATGATCATGGAAGTACCTATATAGACCTTAAGCTCCTTTAAACTTAGTCCCATCGATTTACCGGTCTCTAATACTTGTGTCCTATTGGTGCATGTTACTATGCAGTTTAAAATATCATCATCTACGTATTGCTCATAAAACTGGTACCACTCCCATTAGTTAGAACTTTTATTGATGTAAGCAGGTTGCATCAAACTATTAATTTTTGAATCTAGTGTCTCGTGTACCCAAGTATCTTGAATTCCTGCGTTGTATTGTCGAGTTCTTGTAGCTATTTGTCGAGGGGATATTAACTGTGAGCTTTCACCTCTACCACGGCTACGACAACAACTCTGCCTGTGAGATGTTCTCCTTGCACGTCCTCTTGCTCGTAATAAGTATGACGAAGTTGAAGGTGAGTCTGAGTTGTCTGACACTGTCGGAGAAGCCACCGAAGTAACCAAATCATCTTCATCCTCTCTCGAACTACTGGATTCGCTTTGAGCATGATCACGGATAGTTTGATTGATTTCTGGTGGATGAAACTCTGGATCTTCATCTGTATCATCTCCAGAATAATCGAACTCGGAGTCATTCAAAACTTCTGCGATGATGTTAGATGTTAACCCTGAAAAAAAACACAATATTTGAAGAAAACGTAAACGTACTTTATATAGTACTTGGGAAGGCAGTCGAGAAAAATATTAATTGCATACTTTTGTACTTTGAAGTGTACATAGAAGAAAATATCAAGGTCACAGCCCGAGTATTTAATTTATATTTACAATAATATTTTGAACAATTAGTTTGCACAACCAATAACTTTTTTATACCTACAAAAAAGTATGAAATCACCTATAAAATTATACGATTAATATGGATTAACTTACCTTTGCATAAACGCACATTCGTTCGCCCACCTTCCAACGCCGTTTTTAAAAGAATGACAGAAGATATTGTGATGTTTTCCTTTTTTGTCGTAACGCGTGTATTTACTAGATGTCACTAGTAAAATATTTTAGCTCTGGCAATGAAAACGAAGACCACAGATTTTTATTTTTCTTACGTACTATGAGCTTGCTACATATTTATTTATCTATGACTATGAGTAGTACAGATGTACGCAAGAGGATAGATCGAATGAATAAATTCATGTATAAATATGATAAAAATGAATAATATGATGCTAACTGCAATGTTTAATTTTGATTTAATAAAAATATACCATTTAAATATGTATTTTTACTTTTCTTAGTTTAATACAATGGTAAATAAAATTGGCAGTATTTAGGCATTTTTCGCGACGGACTTTGGCAGGTTTTTAACCAAAGTAAGGCAGATTCGTATTATAAAGATGGTCACACTGATAAACTGTAATCTATGGTCTCAGTAATCTTAAATCTATGGTTTCTAAAAGATACTCCTCTATTCCATAGATTACTGACTATGTACTAGACTAGAGCTAGAGTTTAGTGTTCTGTGGCTAGAGTGCTCTACAGGAGTAATAGTGTTCTGTGGCTAGAGTGCTCTACAGTGCTCTATTCTGTAGTAGTGTTCTGTAGCTTGCTACGTATTTATCGATATATTACTTTCCTCTATGGTATTTATTTATCTATGGTGCTATGGTGTTCTGTAGTGGGTCTTTGGCTTTTTGGAAGAGTGTTATTTAATTTTAATTTTATACTAGTTTGAGGCAAAGATTAATTTTATCAAGGTTTTGGAAATTAATTGGGAATAAAATATATTTAAAATGACGGTCGATGGTGATGAAAAACCGGAGAGGGAGCGAGTTTTTATGGACATTTCAATTGGAGGTTTGCCTTCCGGTCGCATCGTCTTCGAGTTGTTTACCGATGTCGCTCCGAAGACTGCGGAAAATTTTCGTGCCTTGTGCACAGGTGAAAAGGGAGATGGAAAAGTAACAGGAAAACCGTTAACGTATAAGGTATACCCTTTCTAATCTTTCAAACCTCTTGATAATAAGGTAAAATTATTTTGTAGCACATTTTGCCGAGAGTCAGGTCGCACTCAGTGCTTTCATCATCGGTAACCTTCCATTGCTTGATAATATAATTATCTATCCTACAGTTGGAGACAGGTACTTTTGAGTAACAGTACAGTATGGATGGTAATGAACTTTATGGTGTGAAAGAGAAATTGGTATATTTTTTTTACACAAGATATATCAATAAGTTTTTTATTCTCCAGTGCAATTGACACAAATTTTTACGCAGCATTTATTTCAATCTATAAATATCTACTACCATCTCGAAACGGCTAGGCTAGCTCTGCTCTTTCTGACCGAGACGCAGGTGTCCTCTGGCTGATGTCTCGTATCTCTCCAGCCTGGAGGTCGGCTTTAGTAATTTGCTGTACGATTTAAGTGATCATTTTAACTTAAGTTGACAGGCAATGATGCTATTGATTACCATCTAGCTGCTTTTTATGCTGGAAATCTTTAGTTTTTGAGATATCGATAATTAAAGTTTTGAGGTTATATCCATTAATTTAAAAATTATAATGAATAGGACAACATAGGTCCGTTAGGCGCAACCTAACCTAACCTGGCGCCAAGCGCTACATCAGGTGAACCGTATGCATGTTCGCCCCCTCCTCTATAAAAAAAATTAAGAAAAAATGAACATGCAGTAAAATTGGAAACTTGAAAGTCAGCTAAAATCTCGGTTTCAAGGAGAATATAATCATTAAATCAACTGCTGAGCTTTTCAAGAGTGTGTCAGAGTCAGACAGTTTACAAAATGTCACATACACACAACATGCTAGGCAGGTGAATTTACAAATATTGTACCTCTGCTAACAGTCTACATAGACTGAGTTTTGAGTTTGACATATATAAGATGTTCTTTCTGTCAACAATGGTGACAATTGTCCGAGAAGCCTAAAGGGGCGTTGACGGAAATCTGATATCCGTCCGGATGAGAGGTCAGCAGAAGGTCCAACAGGAAAGGTGCATGATCCTCCACATCTGGAATCCGCATAGGCAATTTAACCAGTTGCATCAGATCATGTGCCAAGGCTAATGAACAGATCTCTCCACATGATCAGTTAAACATGAACCAAGCCATTCGGCGTGGTGGGCGTTAAAATCGCCGAGGATCACCATCTCTGTGGAGGGGATCTGCTGTAGCAACGAATCTGTATCCATTTGGATGTGGTTGAAGAGTCTGTCTGTATCGGCATTACCGCTATGGCATCTATAGAGGCGATGCGAAGCGCGGATGGTCGTCGCTGTCTATGCGTAGCCAAATAATAGACAGGTCCGAACCTTCAAGAATGCCGAGGCATTGAGAACAGATGTCCTCTCTGACCTAAACATAAACCAGCCCGAGGCACAAGTGCTCCAGTTTGTACTCATCATTACATCAGCCGGAGAGGACACATGCATCTCAGTCGGAAAGAGCAGAGTCTGCCTCGCCGTCGTGAGATGGTAGTGGATGTGGTAGTTTAGGTTAGAATGAAGTCCCCTGATATTGCAGAAATTCTCGGATAGAGTGGCAGGGGTCGCCTTGGTCTTGTTGCTCAGCTTGCCCCGAGCAGTTGTTGTATTGAGCAGAATTTTGCCCCCCCTCAGAATACGCAGGGCAACCTGAGCACCAACGTTCAGGAGTGCAGTAACTTGGTTGTGGATGCTCAGCGAGGAATTCTCCATGATAAGCAGGGGGGGGAATTGGGCCTCCGGCAACCTACACTTACTAGACGAAACGTGGAAGCGGAGCTTCCACTTCACGCCAGTATTCTGTTTGTGTGTTCATCAATTGTGAACCAGATTTAATGACTATTTTCTATCAACTTCAAGAAAAGGAAGACTTTTCAATTCATTTGTATTATTTTATGTGTCCTCAGAACTTTTTCTAGGTGAACCGATTTTAATATTTTTTTTGTAATTTGAAAGCTGGTGCTTCTCAAATGGTCCCATAAATTTGATCAAGATCTGACCAGTAGTTTATGAGTTACATACATACATAAACACTCACGCCTGTCACCCAGAGGGGTAGGCAGAGACTACAGACTTCCATTTAGCACGATCCTGACATACCTTTCTCGCCTCTTCCACATCCATATACCTACGCATACATGCTCGTCGGTTAAGGGTACTCTTAATTTGGCCCATTTTTAGTATATCGCCAATTTGGTCGACAAACTTCCGCCTAGGACGTCCCTTTCCGACTTCCGTTCACTTCTGCAACATATATTTGCTTTGTCAGTCTTTCCGCATTCATTCTTTCTACATGACCAAACCACCGAAGCATTCCTTTCTTAATCCTGGTCACCGCATCATCTTGCAAACCACACTCTTCTTTTATCACACAGTTTCTCACCCTGTCACTCAGATTCAGCCCTAACATACTCCTTAGCGACCGCATTTCTACTGCATTTATTCTACTCTCGTGCTTCTTCTGCCACACCCAACTTTCACTACCATACGTTAAAGTAGGGACTAATACAGCACTGTGAATTGCCATACATGCCTTTTTTGACACATTCTGACTTTTCACAATAGAGTGTAGAGCCCCATTTACTTTATTTCCTGCATTCACTCGTCGTTCAATATCCTTATCATATCTCCCATCCCTTCTGAATACACATCCCAAATATACGAACTCATCCACTTGCTCAATTAACTCTCCTTCTATTCTTATTTCACATACCGTTTTGCTTTCATCTCTTTCAAAAACCATCACTTTCGTCTTACTTGCGTTCACCTTCATTCCCCTTTTCTTTTAATGACCTGTTCATTAATGTAACTACCATTTGCAACTCGGCCGCTCGGGGGGGATAAGTCGCTCGCGTCCGTAGGCTTCGACCACCTAATCCTAGGCCCACCCTATACGTTTTCCCCGGGTGGTGCTAAAAGAGCGACAAAGCCGATAGAACAGACTCGGCTACTCGCCGTGTGGTAGCGGCGTAAAATATGTCACGCCCTAGTTTTCGCACCATGAGGCAAAAAGTAAAAGAAATGGCCCCGAGTTCCCGGCGCCCCTTTAATGGGGCAGGGGTGCGAAGAATCTCCGGGAGGAAAACCGGCGACGAGGTTCGCCACCCGTCACGTTCTGTCTCCCAGAGAGGCGAAAAGTGGATTGCAGAGGCCCGTCTGGCTACGTTTAATGTATGTGGGGCAATGAATGATAAAATGGATGAAGTATGCGATATGATGTATGATAGAGGGATAGATGTATTATGTGTAAATGAGACGAAAAGGAAGGCGAAGGATGTCACTGCACATGGCATGTATACCGCATACTGGTCTGGTGTAGATGAGATCGAGCGGGCATGCCAGGGAGTAGGTATCATCCTTTCAGAACGAATGGGCCAATGTGTGAAAGAGTATGAATGTGTAAGCCCAAGACTGCTATGGATACGAATGAAAGTGGGCTTAAAGAAGTTGTTTGTGTTAGGGGTCTACGCCCCAGACATGTCTAAGCCCACTTATATCCGGGAGCAGTTTTGGGAAATGGTAAGGATGGTGTTAATGAAGTGTAAGGGAAATGAAAATATTATTATGCTAGGAGATTTTAATGGAAGGGTTGGGGTGAGGAGGCTTGGTTATGAAAGGATATTGGGAATGTTTGGTGATGAAAGTATAAATGAGAATGGTGAAGTCTCCTCACCGTATGTGTGGAAAGGAATCTTTTTGTGACGAACACTTTCGTCATAAGAAGATTCACATGTATACTTGGGAAAGAGGTGATGATAGAAGCATGATAGATTTCATAACTGTGGATGAAAGAATGAGGAACGCAGTGGTGGATACAAGGGTTTACCTGGGGTCCAACGTAGGGAAGGACCACTACCTGGTATTATGCCGAATTAGGGGTTTATTCAGACGTTGGCGGCATAGGACATCTGTGTCTACCACTGCGTTACAGCGTATAAGAATTGAGAGGTTACAAGATGAAGATGTGAAAGACAAGTACAAATGCAGACTGAGAGAAAATATAAGTAATTTGGATGAGTTGTGTGTGAATGAGTTAGACTTGGAGAATGTGTGGCATAATGTTAAGAAAGGTTTAGTGGATGCAGCTACCGAAGTATGTGGTGTTAGTAAGAGAACGAATGAAAGGAAAGACAATGCGTTATGGTGGGATGATGAGGTACGTATGGAAGTTGAAGCAAAGAAGAGAGCATGGCTAGATTTACTAGCGACCAAAGCTGGTAACTCTGGCGGTAAGAATGATGAGAATGAAAGAAAAAAGGCAGAGTTTAAACGTTTAAATAAGAGAGTAAAAGAATTACTTGAAAGGAAAAAGCAAGAAAGAACGGATAGGAATGATAGAAGAATATCGGATAACTTCCAGGCAAATATTAAAATGTTCTGGAAACTCGTAAGAAATACCAGGGGACTTTCGAAACAGCCTAGATTGAATGCGATATGAGACGAGAATGGCTCTATCCTGAATGATGAAGTGTTGAGTCTAAAGAGATGGAAGGAATATTTTGAAAGCGAATTTATGAGTGAGGAGAAGTGTGAACTAAATGAAATAGAAATTCCGAAAGAAGATGAAAGAGATAGGGAGATAAGTATAGATGAAATAATGAGAGCAGTGAAAAGCATGAAAGTAGGTAAGGCAGCCGGATATGATAGAGTTTCACTCGAAATGCTAAGGGTTGGAGAGGACGTGGTGGCAGGCCTGCTGTACACCTTGTTTAATTTATGTTGGGAACTAAAGCGGGTACCGGAGACTGGTGCAAAGCTGTGATAGTCCCAATATATAAGGGAAAAGGATCACAGCAGGACTGTAAAAACTACCGTGGTATCAGCCTTCTTAGCATTGTGGGAAAACTGTATGCTAAGGTACTAATTGAAAGAGTTATGAAAGAAACTGATGAAAAAATTTGGGATGTGCAAGCGGGATTTAGAAAGGGAATGGGGTGTACAGATCAAGTCTTTTCCATGCGCATGATCGCGGAGAAGTTTTTGGCGAAAAACCAAAAAAGTTTTTTGTGCGTTCATGGACTTGGAAAAGGCTTATGACAGAGTGGACAGGGATGTGTTATGGCAAACGCTGAAGGCATTTAGGTTGAGCGCTGGTTTGATACAGGCATTAAAGTCTCTGTATAGGGACTCGAGTGCTTGTGTTAGAATCAACGGGGTTTACTAGGACTGGTTTCGCATCCATAAAGGTGTCAGACAGGGCTGTGTAGCTTCTCTGTGGCTGTTCAACCTATTTATGGACAGTTGTTTGGAAAATTTGAAAGTTGAAGAATGCGGGTTAAGAATGGGTGAGTTAACCATCAAATGCCTTTTGTACGCCGATGATCAAGTCATACTTGCGTCGTCGGCGGCCGAGTTGCAAATGATGGTTATATTAATGAACAGGTCATTTTTATGAGTTATACTTAATAATATGTAAAATTAAATAATTGACTTTGTTTTTTTGATTTTCTTTGATTGACTAAATTGATGATGTTCTCATTTTATTTATATTGAAGTTGGTTGTACAAAATTTTTAATTTTACCTCTTCATTTATTTGATGTGACAAATAGCTCATACTTTAGGGTTGTTCCCATATAAATTTAGAGAAATAAATCTACTTTCAGGGGAAATAAGGAATGAAATTTTTAATGTTACTTTTAAAAACAATATTCTAGTTGTCACAAGTGAAAGCTAACTTTAAAGAACTAAACAAAATAAAAAAGTTAAAAAATAGCTTAAATTCTGCTGTACACTATGTCTAAGCACTGACTTCTGAAGCTGTTATGTGGATTTAAAAATTATGTTGTGTAATATTTTAACCTCTTAATGTTTATATGCTATATTTTGTCATCAGGGAATGGTATTTCACCGAGTTGTGAAGGATTTCATGATACAAGGTGGTGATTTTACAAATGCTAATGGTACAGGTGGAGAGTCTATATATGGTGGTACATTTGAGGGTAAGGTTATATAAATGTTTCAAATTGATATTTCAAAGTATTAAGTCAAATCAAAAACATTTCAATTTGTTAGGACCGCAATAATATTTTTCAAAAAAAGTTTTCTTTTCATGCAAAATTTCATGCTTAGGGTTGAGTTTGTGTTATTTACTATTGAAATATTAGGTAAATATGGACGCTACCGATAGTGTCCTTTTTCTTGTTTCCTTCTTTTTTGTTGTATTTATTTAAGCATGAAGTTTCTTCTCAGCTGGTATGTTTAATAGAGTCAAAAATGAATTTATATTGCACGATAATTAATTTTTTTAAATAATAGTGTAAAATACAGTGAGAAAATATTTTAGAGATTTATTAATAAGTAACTGGTGCATGCTGCAGGGATGGTGTACTGTTTACTTGTTATTAGGTGAGGATGATACATATTAGGTGAGGATCTTACGTAATATAATACCTAGACTGGCGATTGGCAGCGGCTTCATAGATGCTTATGTCCATGCATCATGTGTCAAGTGTAATGATTACAACAATCCCTTTTTTACTGGAAACGAAGCATTCCATCTTAGTCCTCAGGGGTGAAAACGCAAGTGCATTTTTATTCTTAATTGAGGATAAATGTAGATGTCTATGGACCACAGCATCCACTTACCAACAGGTGGACTGTGTGCTCGTTTGTCACCTTTATTCTATAAAAAAGCAAAACCCTCACACAATGAGAATAGCCTGTGTCCAGCAGCGGACTGTTGCAGGCTGATCTTGAATATGATATATAGATAGATAGGAATTTATCGCTTTTAATTTTATATGTGGTGGAATAGTGGAGCCATGCTGCAGCTATGTTAGTGGTATAGTTATGAATGGTCAGCTCGACCAGGGAAGGGCCATATTCTTACAAAATACCAGCGTAAAATAGCAGCCTTAATGCTGCAGTGTTTTGTATGGCTAGTGTAAGGAACCAGAGATCCTTTTTACTGGAAACGAGGCATTCTTAGTCCTCCCGGGTGAAAACGCATCTACATTTTGATTTGTTATAAAAAAGTACTTTGCATCATCAATTAAACAAGAGTCTTGTTGAAAGTATTTGGTTTCCGAGTTATCTACATAGATAACTCCCAAACACTTTTTAATATTCTTGCAACAATTTCAGTAAGTTTTATTGTTTGATTCACTCAATTCTAAGAAAATAAAGGGAATGCATAAACAAATTATTCTGCTCTTCTATGACAATCTGAAATTCATATTTATTGAACATACAGAGTATAAAAAATAATTTTGGTGGATAAATTTAAAACATAATTTTATTTATTATTATTGACTTTTAGACACACATAAAATTCTTTTCAGATGAAACATTTGAACTGAAACATGATAGGCCTTATCTTTTGTCTATGGCCAATAGGGGCAAGGATACTAATGGATCACAGTTCTTTATGTAAGTTTGTGAAAGAGATGGGTAAGAATTCTCGGATGGACTCACACATAATTAGTTTTACTCACCTTCATCAAATTCAACTTAATATCACCATTAAATAGTGTTTGCTAATTATTTTACACCATGCAGTGGTGGTGTAAGGGAAGTCATCATAGCATTTCGTACTGGGAGTATCTGAGAGGCATCTATGGATGAATGATAATATCAGATTTCATGGGCTGTATAGAAGTCTACCTTTAAATAACAGTATTTCCATCTCAATGCCTGGTGCATTGAATGTAGATACATAAATCATGTCGTTGGTACTGTAAAAGGCGACAGAGGGAAACTGAACCAGGATATGGGCAGCAGCATTTCCCTGACAACTACTAATTATTGATAATCTGTGATTGCCAAGCTCCACCGCTGCCAACCATAACAATAATAAATATCCCCCTCGATGAGGCAATCCATTGGGGAGTACTATGTATACTTCAGCAGTAGACAGTCGCCTATTGGTGCCTATTATACCTATCTACCTTTTTTATATGTTCAAAACGTAGAAATCTCTGATATCAAATTTTTATGATCATGTGGCAGGTGAGCTTGAATGTAGTGAGGTGAAATTGACTTTTATATTGTGGGGAAATTCTCATGAATATCTTATACTGCGGGGCAAACGAAAAGGTTATCCCAGACTTCTAATAACTAAAATCCCATGGTGGTCACCATCAGTGTAAATGAAGGGTTCTGGGATCGCAACCGTGAGCCCTCCATACGCCCTCTCAATCCCGCTCAGCGGCCTACTGGATTGTAAACAATCAAATCTACATCAAATAGAATGCAAATGGTACTGGTAATTATAAACTTTGAGCTCTATGTAATGGTTATCTAAAGACTAGAAATTAATAAAAATGTAGTTTATAGTTTCTCAATAATGCTATAACTATCTCGTAATGCCAATTCACAACCAAGTGTGGTGATTAGAGCAAATCGCTATAATGTGAGAAGGCCCATGTGCAGTAGAATATGAGATGTCTGGTACTGAAGTCGCATAATTGTCTGTTTTATTTAAAGTAAGAGGTTAACAATTGTAAACTTTTATGGGCTGGTGAAGTAAACCACAATAGTGGATGACTGAGGTTATCTGATGTGTGTCAACAAAGTGGCGAGCCCAAGTTGATGTCACGTTGTTGTATAGAGGGCGCTGGCGACGTCGTGCGCGCGCTGCCCGCTATCGTTCTTGTTGTGTTCTGTGTGTTGTAGAACAACACAGCCGGCGCCGCATCTCGACAAGTGAGTATCAACACCTTACTATTAAATTAAACTAATTTTACAGAATTTATCGCTTTTAATTTTATGTGTGGTGGAATGGTGGAGTCATGCTGTAGCTATGTTAGTGGTATAGTTGTAGCACGAATGCCATATTGTCACAAAATACCAGCGTAAAATAGCAACCTTAACGATAATCTTTTTACTGGAAACGAGGCATTCTATCTTAGTCCTCACGGGTAACAATGCATCCGCATTTTGATTTGTTATCGAGGATAGATGTAGATGTCTATGGGCCACAGCATCATAGTGCCATCAAGTGAACTGTGTGCTCCTATGTCACCGCTATCCTATTAAAAAAACCATCACCACTTACCACATATAAATTACATTTACCTTCATATGGTGGTGTAGTATGGCAATCCATTACCTTATTTCCTCGTAAATGATAAGGTTAATTCAACCAAATCATTTACAGCTGACGTTAAATGCACAAACCAGGGAAAGAGAGCAGCATCAAAGGTGCTCACGTCTGGTACTGCCACCACAAATCCACTTTCCTAGTGTGCCGACTAAAGTAAATCCTAAATGGGCGAGGCCTATCTACAGTTTTTTTTTCTTATTTAAAAGAATATTAACAATGCTATAAACATTACTAATATTCCCCTTAACCACCCTTAACCCCTTAATCAGTGTAGACATATTGAAGTAAAAAAGTAGTAAGAAAGCTTCATGTTATTTGAGGTTTACTTATGTGCTGGCTGCCTTGTTAGTCTAGTGGTCGTAAACACGACTTGCAAATGAGGTGTCGGGTTCGACCCGTTCGGTCGGGCCAAAATTTGAGCAGCAGTCTGGAAGCTGGCGGTGCCTCGGAAATAACGTAAAGCCATGGGTCCTGCTCCTGATTGCTCTCCGCTCGTGTTGGTTTACTTTCCTATAGGACTATGAGAGTCAGGGAATAGAGAGTGCATCTGTGCTTTTGCGCATACACTAGCGCGCTATAATTATGTCCTGCGCAGATGGCAAGCCTCCGTTAAGGTTCGCCGCCGTGACTGAAATACAGTCTGGAGAATATAATTATATTATAAAACGGGTGATTCCGTTTATCCACCACCCTAGGGCGGATACTCTGAAACATGTATTCGTTTATCCACCCTAGACGGGGTAGATAATCGGAATTCACTTTTTGATTGTAGTTCCGCCTTTCCACGACAAGTACAGTTCAACAGAAAATATATTCATACTTTAACATATTATTAATTATTTTTTAATAACAACAATCTTAAACAAAAATCATACTAGGCACATATTGCAATTAAACCAAAGTAAAGTTGCTTGTAACTTATAAATTCTGCAAAATGTGAAGGAAATGACCAACACCAATTTCATTAATGAGTAGATATAATTTGATATCGTGTATAAATTCGTCTCTCAATTAAAGGCATTATAAAATTTAAGTACCCTGCTATTTCCAATACTGTGTTTATATAATTAACAATATATTTATTTAATTTAAATACATACTTCAATAAAATATAATTGATATTATATGCAGTAAATCATTTCTTTCATCATAAGATATCTCCAAAACCACGTAAATTATGTCACATTAAATAATGTGTATAAACGTAGTGATTATATTCTTTGCATGTGTAATTGAACAATTAAAAGTATTTCAGTTTTGACCTTTAAACAAGAAGTATGTTTTTATTTTATAATTATGCTAATGTCTACTAAGTAATGTTGGACCAGTTTCTATCATATTTTTATAAAAGACTGTACACAGCCGAAGGGGAAAATAGGAAGAAAAATAATAAAGGAATTCCGATTATCCACCGTAGGATGCATTTCTTAGGGTGGATATACGGTAAAACCCAGCATTTAATATGCTTATATATTTTTTAAATTGCCGAATAAATTCGGCATAAGGTTGGTATATACGAAGACAGATCCCTAGGCACAAATATGAGTCGTAACACCTGAATTCGAAACAACAATTATTTGTAATATATTCGCAGGCAGGAATTGTAAAGGCTTTTTTTAAGTCAGTGCGCTTTACCATTTTCGGTCTGTGGGACGTTATTACAGTGTAATACCCACTACCCCATATCATCCCGTGGGTATAGGGTTACCAACTCTCGAAAGGACCAACCCGGGGGAATTTTATGTAACCGAGTTAGGGGGGGGGGGGGGGTTAGTGAAAGGAAATTTCTATCATTTATTAATTTTTAAATTTATATTTAAATTGCTTTCAAGCAACATCTAATATTTGCCGATTTCGCAAAGCGAGTGCGAGCGACGGATGCATACAATTTTAAGAAAACCCGCAGAAATTATTGCGCTCCGGAAGGTCGGGAGGCTAACCATTATTACCGGAGTCTCCCGGGCAATCCGGGAGGATCGGGAAGCCTACGTGGGTAGTAAGAGGCGACAGAGAGAAACAAATAATGAGATGGGCAACAGTGTCTTCCTAATAACGATTAAAAAGACTAAGTGTGCTTGTCAACCTGCTTGTGGCAATATGGGGAAATCTATGGATACGTCTATGGTGGTCTTTAATAGGCTGCAACAGTAACGGTAGAATATTATTTATCGGCTATATTGTTTATTGATATATTTTTTCTTTTGTTGCAGTGTGCACGTAGTGTTTGGCCATGTGGTGGGTGGAGCGGCTTTAGTGCGTCAGTTGGAGGCGTTGCCCGTCGACAGAAACTCCCGACCTCTACAGGACGTGCTTGTGACTGCTTGTGGACAACTTGTACGGCTCAAATCAGGTGCGTCTCATCAGTTGAGAAAATAATGTTAATTGGTTAAATTATTTTGCTTACAAATGTTAATAATCATTGAAGCAATATGTACTAGGTACTAGAAGAGACGTTTAGAATTGGTTGTTTGCAATATGTTGCTTTTCCAAACTAGTGGTAAAGCTTAAACGACCTTCAATAATTATTCTTATAATCGACTAAATTAAAATGATTCATTTCTATTCTATTCTACGCGTTAGAACCCGCGGACTCAAACTTACTTAGTTTTGCCATACAAAGTACTCATCAATCTGTCACGCGCCCGCACTACCACACACAGTTTTTTTTTTTTTTTTTTTGTTTTGTTTTGGTTGGTTCGGTTTGTGTCTGGGGTTTTTGTTGAATGGAGATTGATGAGATTTTTGGTATTTTACCAACTATCTCATTCTAATTATATATAAATCTCTCTCTCTATCTTCTCTCTTCCCTTGCTGAAACTTGTGACGCGTAGATGTGTATTAAGTAAGATTGCTCCTTTATATCATACAAATATTGTGGTAAAAACATTTAAAACAATCAGTTATATTAAGATTACTTTCATTGAAAACAGCCAACTCTGGATTCTCCTACTAATAACATACAATACTTATTACTTCAAACAATAATTGTACAAAAAATAAACAGCAAATGCTTTCATGATTTTTTTTAATTTAGTTTGTAAATGAAGCTTTTGTAGAATATTTATTAATTTATAATTTATTGTATTCACTTATATAAAAGATTTACAAAGTGCTGACTTAATATATAACTATATTGTTTACCAGAAAGCTATCAGAATTAAAAAGGTAAAAGCCAACTTCAAATTATCTAAAAAGAATAAAATAATTTCAAATTCTAAAGTTGGTGCTAAGTAGACATAGCTTCATCACTTTATTCTTAGTTCTTTAACATAAACATTACTAATATTCAGTGGCGGAGCTAGAGCTCCAAGCTAGGGCAAGCCCAAGATATAAATTGATAAAAATATAGATTGTTGTTTTTCAGGGTTTGTTTAAGCGAAAGAAAAAAAATATTTACATCCAATACAATACATGAACAAAAGTAAAACACTAACAAAGTACAAACAATGTACAAAATTAAAAAAAAAATTATTTACATTCAAATGGTTAAGAGATAAGATAAGATAAGTGGAATCGTCTCGCTTTCTTATGGAAAGATTTAATTACGTCTACGTAAAATGTTGGTGAACGTTTTAATTGTACCAATAACTGTTTTAATTGCGATAATTGATAAGTCTGAAATACACTCTTAACCTTGTGTGTTATCTCAACAAAGTTTAAAGATTTCCTCTCCGATTATCACTTTAACACACTTCAATTCATCACAAGGAACACTATTATCCTCCATTTTTATTAAAAATCTTTAAAAAAGCATAAATTTTAAACTCGTAATATTAAATCGCTTAAGATAAGCACACAGAGTAAATAAACATTGAAACGTAAAATGAACTTGCAAACGTATTGCCCGCGCGCCTCCGCTTTTAACAAATTTATTCCCAAAAGCCTGGCTTTAAATCTCTATACTAATTGCTATATATACAATCGTAGTTATATTTCATTATAGAATATTTTGCCATAGGTTAGAAAGAGAGCGATCGTCTTCTCGAAAGCCCCGTAAAAAGCCCACGCGAGCGAGGGAGACAACTATTAGCTCTATTAAATCAAAACTCATTTTTATGACAGCAGCAGTATCACTAAGGCAATACGAGGTCATCGGTCGACATGTGTCGAACAGTGGAGTGCGCGGGAAATTTGAAATAGCTTGAAACATTTTACGAGTTATTTTACATAACATACATAAACATAAACACTCACGCCTGTCACCCAGAGGGGTAGGCAGAGACTACGGACTTCCATTTGGCACGATCCTGACATACCTCTTTCGCCTCCTTTACATCCATATATCTACGCATACATGCTCGTCGGTTAAGGGTACTTCTAACGTGGCCCATTTTCAAAATATCGCCAATTTGGTCGATAAACTTTTTCCTAGGGCGTCCCTTCCCGACTCGGCCATTCACATCTGCCATATAAATTTGCTTTGTCACTCTTTCCTCATTCATTCTTTCTACGTGACCAAACCACCGAAGCATTCCTTTCTTAATCCTGGTCACAACATCATCTTGCATACCACATTTATCTCTTATCACGCAATTTCTCACCCTGTCATTCATATTACACCCTAGCATATTCCTTAAAGACCGCATTTCTACAGCATTTATTCTACTTTCGTGCTTCTTCTGCCACACCCAGCTTTCACTACCATACATTAAAGTAGGGACTAACACAGCATTATGAATTACCATACGTGCCTGTTTTGACAAACTCTGGTTCTTCATAATAGAGTGTAGTGCCCCATTCACTCTATTCCCTGCATTTACTCGTCGTTCTATATCCCTATCATATCTACCATCCCTGCTAAATACACATCCCAAATACACAAACTCATCCACTTGCTCAATCAACTCTCCTTCTATTCTTATTTCACATACCGTTTTGCTTTCTTCTCTTTCAAAAACCATCACTTTCGTCTTACTTGCGTTCACTTTCATTCCCCTTTCTTTTAATTCCCAGTTCATTAATGTAACCATCATTTGCAACTCGGCCGCCGACGACGCAAGTATGACTTGATCATCGGCATACAAAAGGCATTTGACGGTTAACTCGCCCATTCTTAACCCACATTCTTCATCTTTCAAAGTTTGCAAACACCGGTCCATAAATAGGTTGAACAGCCAAGGGGAAGCCACACAGCCCTGTCTGACACCTTTTTGGATGCCAAACCAGTCCGAGTAGACCCCATTGATCCTGACACAAGCACTAGAGTCCCTATAAAGAGACCTTAATGCCTGTATCAAACATGCGCTCAACCCATATGAGTTCAGTGTTTGCCATAACACATTCCTGTCCACTCTGTCATAAGCCTTTTCCAAGTCCATGAACGCACAAAAAACTTTCTGGTTTTTGGCCAAAAACTTCTCCGCAATCATGCGCATGGAAAAGACTTGATCTGTACACCCCATTCCCTTTCTAAAACCCGCTTGCACATCCCAAATTTTTCCATCAGTTTCTTTCATAACTCTTTCAATTAACACTTTAGCATACAGTTTACCCACAATACTAAGCAAGCTGATACCGCGGTAGTTTTTGCAGTCCTGCTGTGACCCTTTTCCTTTATATATTGGTACTATAACTGCTTTACACCAGTTATCCGGTACCCGTTTTAATTCCCAACATAAATTAAACAAGGTGTACAGCAGGCCTGCCACCACTCCCTCTCCAGCCCTTAGCATCTCGAGTGATACTCTATCATATCCAGCTGCCTTACCTGCTTTCATGCTTTTCATTGCTTTCATTATTTCATCTACACTTATCTCCATACCCCTTTCCACTTCTTTCGGAATTTCTAGTTCATTTAATTCATACGACTCTTCACTCATAAACACGCTTTCAAAGTATTCCTTCCATCTGTTTAAATTCGAAACTTCATCATTCAGAATACATCCATTCTCGTCTCTTATAGCATTTATTATAGGCTGTTTTGTATTTCCCCTGGCAGTTCTTACGAGTTTCCAGAACATTTTTATGTTAGCCTGGAAATTATCAGATATCCTTCTATCATTCTTATCCGTTCTTTCTTTCTTTTTCCTTTCAACAACTTCTTTTACTCTCTTATTTAGACGTCTAAATTCTGCCTTTTTTCTTTCAATCTCATCATTCATACCAGAAGAATTATCAGCTTTGGTTGCTAGTAAATCTAACCATGCTTTCTTCTTTGATTCAACTTCCACCCGTACCTCATCATCCCACCATAACGTCTTACTTTTCCTTTCATTTGTTCTCTTACTTACACCGCATACTTCGGTTGCGGTATCCACCAAACCTTTCTTAATATTATCCCACACAGTATTCAAGTCTAAATCATTCATACACAACTCATTCAAACATCTAATATTTTCTCTCAGTCTACATTTATACTTCTCTATCACATCTTCATCTTGTAACTTCTCTATTCTTATACGCTGTAACGCAGTGGTAGATACAGATGTCCGATGCCGCCAACGCTTGAAAAGACCATTAATTCGACATAAGACCAAGTAATGATCCGTCCCTACGTTGGACCCCCGGTAAACCCTTGTATCTACGACTGCGCTCCTCATTCTTTCATCCACAATTACGAAATCTATCATGCTTCTATCATCACCTCTTTCCCATGTATACATGTGAATCTTCTTATGACGAAAAAAAGTATTCGTCACAAAAAGATTCTTTTCCGCACATACGGTGAGGAGGTCTTCACCATTCTCATTTATACTTTCATCACCAAACGTTCCCAATATCCTTTCATAACCAGACCTCTTCACCCCAACCCTTCCATTAAAGTCTCCTAACATAATAATATTTTCATTTTCCTTACATTTTGTCAACACCATCCTTACCATGTCCCAAAACTGCTCTCGGATGTAAGTGGGCTTAGACATGTCTGGGGCGTACACCCCTAGCAGGAACAGCTTCTTTAAGCCCACTTTCAATCGTATCCATAGCACTCTCGGGCTTACACATTCGTACTCTTTCACACATTGACCCATTCTTTCTGAAAGGATGAAACCGACTCCCTGGCATGCCCGTTCGGTCTCGCCTACACCAGACCAATACGCGGTATACGTGCCATGTGCAGTGGCATCCTTTCCCTTTCGTTTCGTCTCATTCACACATAACACATCTATTCCTCTGTCATTCATCATTTCGCATACTTCATCCACCTTATCATTCATTCCTCCACATACATTCAGCATAGCCAGACGGGTTTCCGCAATCCACTTTTCGCCCCTCCGGGAGACAGAACGTGACGGGTGGCGAACCTCGTCGCCGGTTTTTTCTCCCGGAGATTCTTCGCACCCCTGCCCCATTTAAAGGGCGCCGGGAACTCGGGGCCATTTCTTTTATTTCTTGAGTCATGGTGCGAACAAGGGTTGGTGGTAGATTTTACGCCGCTACCATACGGCGAGGAGCCGAGTCTATTTTATCGGCTTTGTCGCTCGTTTAGCACCACCCGGGGGACACGTGTAGGGTGGGCCTAAGGTTAGGTGGTCGAAGCCTACGGACGCGAGCGACTCATCCCCCAGTTATTTTATTAGTTGATATTATTATTATAATTGATTGATTCAGGTTTAATAAGGCAAGCCCGGCTTTTCGGCTTTAATGTAAGCTTCGCCACTGCTAATATTCCATGGGCACGCGCCGTTGCGCGCACCAACTCTCCTGTTACCCATGTCCTCACCGCACTTAATTCTCTCCTGGACACAAATCCTCAGTGCGACCTGTTTGCGGATGAATGTACGGCAATATTGTCCTGAATGCCTAAAGTTTTATGACCTTGAAGAATGATTATGTTATCTTTAGTTAATGTAATTGGTTTAACCGTTTTAATAAAAGTAAAAATAAATAAATAAATATTTGGAAAATCATAAAATTAAAAGACTTTAAAATATTTACGACGACAGGTTATGTTTTTTTTTTCTTGTAAAAATCACAAGGAAAAAACAGATGCTGATCAACTTTCATTAATGACTTTTAAACGGTGTTGAATTCAATAACAAAAATCAATAGGGATCCTCCTTAAAATATATGGAATCTTATTTAATATTATATATCTTAATCTATAGCTTGCCTTTATATTAAGCGAGAAGGCTCACCGACCCACAGACTATATACGGCAGTCCATATATTTTTTCAGTTACAGCTTTTGTTATGTAGTCTAAAGTGAATCAATTAGAAAGTAAACTAATCTTATAATTTAATGTCTGTAGTGATTGTAACGTTAATAATAATATGCATTTGATGTATAATTAATAGTATAAGAACGATTTTATGTAGCGAAACTGAGGTATGGCCACATATCGAGAGTAGAGCACGTTGTAAGGCGTGCAATAATTGTAAAACTCTTCGTTTATTGAAGTCGGCTAATAACGTAGACACTTCAAAAAAAGTATGTGATCAATAGCAAAAGCTGATATATTTTCAAAATTATATAAAAAGTGTTTACGTTATATCTTTCTTTTAATTGGAAATATACTGTTTGAAATTAAAAAAATATCCACCCTAAAAGGATAACGATTTGCCGCCTTGCTGAACGGTTTCAGTGGCGGTTTTTTGCCTATCTGGATGTGAGTACTGATTCGCGATTCGTTAACGAGCAGTTTTGCCAAATGTTTTCCTTCTCATCTTCATCATTTTGCCGGAGCCTAGCCCACTGCAATCTTCGTAACTGACGTTGCCGTAAATTCACAGCTGCTCGCTAAGACCTCTGTGCTTGTAGTCCAGCCTGGTGTAAGCAATTCCGAATGGTCTGAGTGCTAACTTCAAGTGCAGAGGCGCCCCGCAATTCTGCTTTTATGGTGATGGCGTTGATTGTTAGGTCACGGGCTGCCAGCAATCTGATATAGCGCTTCTGGGTAGCAGTCGGAACAGTTGGGCGACCACTGCTGGGTCGGTCAGCTAAATTATCCATGCCTTACTGCAACGTGGCCACGATACAAGATTGGAATACACCAATTCTGCGAGCTATTTCTGTCGTAGAATATCCTTTTCCCATCTGGGCATTTTTTAATCACAAATATCCTCGAAAAAATTTATAAATCCGTTAAAATTGACTAAGTCTAATTTGTGGATGAGCGTAAGCTTAGATTGAATTTTATTTATATGGAAAAACACTTGAATTTATTTTATTATTAAGAAGAAATTATAATATAGTCTACCATAACAAAAAAAGATTTTTCAAACTGATCGCAAATTTTTTTGATGTGTGTACATATGAGCAAGTATAATTCATAGGTTTTGAAATTCTGGTAACTAAAATACTTAAAAAAAAGAGTAATTTATTGCATTTTTGTTTTAACTAGGAATAAGATTTTTTTTGAAAATTTTTTTTTTCTTTTTTTTTTTTTTTTTTTTTTTTTTTTTCTTTCGGGCTGGGCAGAAAAAAAAAAAAGAAAAAAAAAAAAAAAAAACGCGAAAAACCAAATTAAATTAAACAGTAAATTTGCAAAAAAATACATTTCTGATAACTAGTTTTGTGCTACATATTTGTGTCTACTTCAAAATCATTTGTAGTTCAGTATCTAATTGTTACTGTCTGTCTATGTTTTTAACAGGTAAAAAGCGCAAACAAGAAAAAGAGAAGGAAAAAGATGGAAGTGATGAAGAGTCGGACCATTCACAAAAGAAGGACAAGAAGAAGAAGAAAGATAAGAAAAAGAAAAGGTAATTTTATCATAGCCAAATATCAAGGTGAGGTCCGTGGAGAACTGCTTACAGGCTGATCCACCACATTAAATATGTTAAACATAATTGTTAAGTACCGCGTGAAAAATAAAAATGATGTATCTTACTCAGTTTGTAGAGCACTTCCCGCCCTCCCTTAATGATGGCTATTAATTTACTACTCACCAGGTGTCGCTAGTTGCGACGAGTTGAAGATAATTGTTATAGAAGATAAGTGAAAAGTTGGTGTTTCAAATAAAAGTTTTTTGGTTAACCGTGTAGTGGTGGTGCAAGATTATCCACTGCGCCATATCGCCCGTGGCTGGCGTAAGAGGTGACAGAGGGAAATCGAAATCAGGGATGGGTAGCAGCATCTTCAGTCAACAACTCAAAATAAAAAACTACGTGTGGCACTCGGTGACTGCCGCGGTGAAGCTATTGCATAGCATTTTTTATCAACGTATGCAATTATAATTATTTATTTATTTTATTCATGCAGTTAAGTCTTTGATATTAAATCAAGTTACACTTTTTGAGCGTGGTGACCGACAAGAAAACAATTTTTTTTCTCTTATTGAATAAATGAGAAGTTAATATTGTTTAAAATATTTTTAATATCTTACAGTACATGTAGGTTATTCAGGAATTTTTATCATTGAGTGAGCAGCTAGTGTACACGCATACGTCTAGTCGCAGGGACACAAACACCGTGCCGAAGTCTGCCGAGTGCCGAAGTCTGCCGAACTAAAACGACGTTAGACGATGCACGGCTTTCAACGCCACACCTCCGTGCCCGTCGGAGTGGGGAGCGTGAGGTTTTTTTTCGTTACGGAATTTCTGGATTCGGTCTCCGCGCTCAAGGCCCGCGATAGAAGCTATGCAATAGCTTAATAAAAGATTTTTATACATGGTAGAGTCATGCTGCAGTTATATTAGTAGTATAGTTGTAGCACGAATGGGTCGGCTCGAATGGGGATGGACCACGCTCTCACAGAATACCAGTGTAAAATAGTAGCTTAGCTTAATGTTGCTGTGTTTCGTATGGTGAGTGTAGAGAACCGGAGATCCTTTTTACTGGAAACGGGGCATTCCACCTATGTCCTCACGGGTGGGTGACAACGCATCTGCATTTTGATTCGTAATCGAGGATAGATGTAAAAGTGTATGGGCCGCAGCAACCACTTGCCATCAGGTGGACTGTGTGCTCGCTTGTCACCCTATCCTATAAAAAAGGCGGTTGTTACCCCGCCTATTAAGTGTGGCAACTATGGCAAGATCCCCTATGAAAGTACTATGTGGGAGGCCTATGTTTAGCAGGGGGCTATGTATAGGAAGGATGGAATTATGGATGGATGAAGTTTACAATTTAATTAAAATAAAATACAATGCTGTTTTAACATTGCTAATATTCCCATTAGCCACTCCATGTTAGCTTAAAAGCTTGTCTTAGACTTGGATCCCACAACTCCTTAGTTTGCGGTCCACACCCATCACCTACTACTGTTGCTTTAATCTTGTAGCTCCTGTTTTTGAGATGCTGTACTATGGATAATTTTTAATAATGAATAAGTTTCACTCTTAGTTCAATTATTTCAAATCAATCATCAGGTCACTTATTAACAATTTTTAATTGCAGACATCACTCGGGTGCATCAGCAGACGAGGAAGAGGCTGAAGAAGCCCCCTCCCATCCTCTGGTAATGACTTCTAAGATTGACCCTAGAGAAATACCCGAAGTGCCTACAAACAGGTTCCTTATGAGGGGAGGTAGAGATCAGGATAAGGAAAGGGATCCCCGGAGGGATAGAGAAAGGTATTGTTTTTTTTAATAAATATAAGTAATATCAGTTATTCTTAGGTAAACTACTTTCGTACTTTTACATACGTACATTGATCACGCCTGTTATCCCCGAGGGGGTAGGCAGAGTCCAAAGAGACGGACCTCGAACCATGTTTAGCCCAAAACATGGATTCGGTTGAAAAATTGTGGCAGCAGTGTTATGTGACTAACTCATCGCCTACCAATCACAAATTTACTATCCCATTTGTCGCCTTTTGCAATCTACTAGCCGAGTAAAACAATTGGCTCACTTTTCTGTTATATGTGTCACATAATATTTAGGTAAACTGGTATCATTTGATACAAATAGCCACTAAAATGAATTTGACAGGAGATTAAATATAACATGGAGGAAATACTGGGCACAAAAAGAAATCGTAAAAGGAAATTACAACCTGAAAATGGAAAAGAGAATAATGGTTTCTTACATTCTCCCAAGCTTAACTTATGCAAGTCAAACATGGGTATATACTGAAAACATAAAAAAAATTCTGTCAGCATGCAATGGAAAGAAGTATATTGAAATTGATAACAAGTGGTAAAATAAAAAAAATTGTACAACGGACTTCAATATAAATGAAATGAGAACATCATCAATGTAATCGAAGTCAATTAAATACATACGCATTATTTAAGGATAACTAAAACTACTGGTCACATCTTGATCAAATTTACCTATATGGGACCAAATGTGAAGCACCAACTTTCAAATAAAAAAATAATCATCAATATCGGTTCACCTATAAAAAGTTCAGAGCACACATAAGAAAAACATACAGTCGAATTGATTACCTCGACCTTTTTGAAGTCGGTTGAAAAATACGTAATAAGAAACACAGATGTTCTCAAGAAAACATAGATTACAGATATCCTTCAGTATAGTCAATTAAAATGGGCAGGTGACATTCGTACAAGGATAAGGATAAGAGGTGAACTCAACAAACAACAAAATGGCTAGGTTCGACAGGCAAGAGGCGAGTGAAGAGACAGAAAAAATGGAAGAAGATGGACGAGACTTTTGTCCGTATGTGGACACTACACACTAATAACAAATAAAACAAGAAGCAACCTACGTGATAAACATATAAATTTATTTTTATACATAAAAATAAGTAAGAATTCAAAGCTATAATTAAATAAATAAATAATAAATGTCTCACATAAACATTGGACCTATAAGTCCCAGACAAATTATAATTGTAATTATAGTTTTTTAGAATTTTATAATAATAAACCAATAAATAAACCAGTTTCTTGACTCCAGTCAGTAATTCATTCATAGGTCAATTGATATGCAATTACAACAAAGTCCCAGAAAATATACAAGGTCTCCTTGTTACCAACTTTAAATATGTTATTAAAGAAAAACTGTATGAATAGATGTATGAATGGGGTTATTATAATATAAATTAATACATGGTTGATAATAACCCCTGGGAATGAAGTGGTCGCTTCCAAGCTGTTTCTTAAATAAGTTTCGTAAGTAATTTGTACGACTTGTGTTTTTATTGTCAATGTTTTTTTTTAAAGTACCACTGAGTTTGTTGCTGGATAAAGACGAAGGTATTTTCCGAACCAGTGGTAAAAGTAAAAAGTTACTTTTAATAAAAATGACTTGTATCTATTCAATAAAAATGTATTCTATTCTACTTTTTATGTGACAATTGGTGTGACAGTTTCTCTCTTAATCGCTATGCAAAGATCTATTTTGTGTGCCTTCATCATCATGTATGTCTGTCCATCATCATCATTACAGCCCTTCTGGAGTCCACTGCTGAACATAGGTCTCCCCCAAAGAATGCCACAAAGCACAGCCTGAGTCACCTGCATCCATAGAATACTATAATACACAATAGAATGACTATCAACCTTATTTTGTACGAGGATCGGCGTCGCCGGGAGCACACATGCAAGCAATTACGTCGTATTTTCAGTTATCACTACTACAAATACATTTTGGACTTAAGGCCGAATACGACGCGAATGACCTTGCTCGTTTCGCAGCAAACCACGCGCCGCCCGTACGCTTTGATTATATTATATTTGACTAAGCTAGCTCAGTATGCAGAGTAATGAACAACACAGAGAGCATTGCTTACTTCTTAAATAAATCTTTCTTATTTATAATATTAGTTCCTATAGATTATAAATTCTGTACTTTATTCGTTATAAAATATTGTTCGAAAAGTTATTTTATTTTATTTTTATTTATTTATTTATTTAAATTGGTTTACCAACAACTTATGCACTAACATCTTTCCATATAAATCAAGCGATATAGTAAAAAAAACTAAGTACACAGTCAATTACAGGTAAACACCACATAATAACAACACCGCATAACTTTTATCGCGACAATTACAAGACGAATTTATACTTATTGAATAAAAACACTGTAGTATTGCTATTATAAAATGCACTAAAACATACTGACCAAAAACAGAGCGGCAAGGTATGAATTTACAATATTTAAAAAAAATTAAAAAATTAAAAAAAAGGAAAAAAGTGTTTAACAAGGCAAATGTTTATAATCTGAGGTACCTATCATATAGACAGCCTTTCGAAACTTTCCCAATAAAACATGGTTAATGTCGACGAGATCGCTAATTTGGTTAAAAAGTCTGATCATCCTACAAATTGGCGAATGTGATCCCAAAACAGTTCGTCGTAATGGAGGACTGAATGGAGTAATAGGTTTTCGTGGAGGCCTGAAGGGAACTCTAAAATTAATCTTTTGTAAAAGTTCTGAGCAGTCTATGATATTGTGGAGAACGAATGAACGAATTGAATTGATAACGGTTTTTTTTTCTTAATTGGTTCATCGTAAGTAAAGAACCTCATATAACTGAAAATGTTTGTTCTTGTGAGTCTTACAAGATGCCGTAATGCAAATTGCATAAATAATAAAGAATAAAAAACTAAAAAGTCGGTGATTGCCCCATAGTGGGGGTACTGTGTATGTAAATTCTCACAAGACTACTCCGAGTGGTCAATCACTTCACATCCGAAGTATTTCGGTTTTTCTTAATTATGTACATACCCCATGCTTTCGGACAATACATTGACTATGACATTATTTGCGGTCTCTGTGCTTGCACTACTCTGTACATTCTTTTCTGACTGGGTCTTGATATTTACATTTTTAGTGTTTCTCATTTGAAACTAGAAAAGTATAAATGATCAGTTTGGCTAATGTAAATGAGTAAAAATGCAACCTATTATGCAGCCTCAAACAAACAATTACCTTACAAAAATATAAGTATTAACCTCAAAATACAACATTCGAGCAGCGTTCATGCGATAAACTCTCTTTGTTTTACCACTTAGGTAACATTTATTTCTTTTCCTACCCATATTCACATTTATAGTCACTTAAACGCGTATAAAACACTAAATTAACGATTTTCGCTACAGACACAACGACTGTTGTCACCTTACGTCACACGTCGAAGCGCCTGGTAATTTATTACGGCAAACTTTTATCTGGCAATATACGATATTATTATTAGGTGTTTTTAATTATAACGAATTATGTATGTTAATAAATAATATTTTGTATCGAAAATAAAGACAGCAGGCACCTTCGGAATCACAATACAAACATTTTTACGTAAAAGAATTTTTCCTAAATTAAAATTCACAGAGTTTTGGAAGAACAATCATTTTTAAATATCATTTCTTAACATTTTTTATTTGTTGGTATATTCATTTATTTTAAAATTTTAAAACTGCGGGCACCTTGTGAAGGAACCGAACAAACCTAGAAAAAAATGTTTTAACGCTTAGAATTACTTCAGGTCAAAGTTGTAGTGAAGAGAAATACATTAAATTTCGCCAGTTCTTCGTATTCGTCCTCTTCGTATTCGGCCTTAATTAATGTTTTTGACACATAAATGTTTCTTTATTTTTGTTTGTAACATTCACAAAATATAAATAGTTTCGACTTACTGGTTGTAGGATATGTCTCCTTTATTTAAATTCCATTTCCAGTTGCTCTTTCGAAACGTAATTACTGCACACTTTACAATTTTTTAAATAATTTGCATTGATTATAACATGACACGAAAATTGGAAACGATTGATGGTGTTGACATTCATAGGTGTGAATTAACATGTTAGTGGTACTATTATGTATGTATTATAGTATTCTATGCCTGCATCCCTCGACTTATTGCATTTCTTACCAGGTCGTCACGTTTGTATGCCATGATGTTTATAAATTCAAGGGTATGTCGTCGAGTCTAAAAAGTATTTAATAATTATTGAGAAATGTGTCATCTTTGCTTTTCAGCTTTAGCCAGTTTCTAATGTAAGTTATAAAATTTACCATTATTGATTGTTTTTGTTTTACAGTTTTTTATGACTAACCTGTGAGCGTGTTTCGTATTATGTAATATGTATAACATAACATAAACACTCACGCCTGTCACCCAGAGGGGTAGGCAGAGACTACGGAATTCCATTTAGCACGATCCTGACATACCTCTCTCGCCTCTTCCACATCCATACACCTACGCATACATGCTCGTTAGCTAAGGGTATTCTTAATTTGGCCCATTTTTAGTATATCGCCAATTTGGTCGACAAACTTTCGCCTAGGATGTCCCTTTCCGACTCTTCCATTCACTTTTGCAACATATATTTGCTTTGTCAGTCTTTCCTCATTCATTCTTTCTACATGACCAAAACACCGAAGCATTCCTTTCTTAATCTTGGTCACCGCATCATCTTGCAAACCACACTCGTAATATGTATAAGTATTTTTAACAAAAACTACGGAAATGGTATTGGTGATGAGGACATTAATTATACAACTAATGTATTTAACAGTAAAATAATTTTATATAATATAATACAATATATTTTATTGTTCACCAAGGAAAGATTAATGTAACAAAAATAAACAAATACTAAGGGGAAAACAAAAGTTGGTCTTATTGCTACATAGCTATCTTCCAGACAACCCAGAAGAAGAATTAAATAAAAATAAGAGAAAGATTAATGGATAGGGTACACGAAAATAAGAAAGATACCAACTTATGCGCTAATAAGACAATATACTTCAAGTGGTAGATCAGGTAACGTTATTTTGTAAAAAAAAGTCCCGTTGGCTTCCTTGCTGATTCTTCCCAGGAATGAAGTTTTTTCAACCAGAGGTAAAAGTGTAAAAAAGTGAATAATTCCATTCATTAGGTATTATTTATAATAATGAGGCGATAGAGGGAAACTGTAACAGGATATGGCGGCAACATCTACTCGGTAACATTTAACAAAAAATCTGTTTGCCAATCTATCGCCTGCTCAGCGGGGCGACTAAGGCAAATATCCCCCTTATGAGGCAATCTATGTGGGAGGCCTATGTTCTGCGATGGATCTATAGACGGCGGAGTCTAACGTACATACATAAACACTCACGCCTGTCACCCAGATGGGGTAGGCAGAGACTACAGACTTCCATTTGGCACGATCCTGACACACCTCTCTCGCCTCCTTCACATCCATACACCTACGCATACATGCTCGTCGGTTAAGGGTACTCCTAATTTAGCCCGTTTTCAATAAATCGCCAATTTGGTCGATAAATTTTCGCCTAGGACGTCTCTTTCCGACTCTGCCATTCACTTCTGCAACATAAATTTTCTTTGTCACTCTTTCCTCATTCATTCTTTCCACATGACCAAACCACCGAAGCATTCCTTTCTTAATCCTGGTCACAACATCATCTTGCAAACCACACTCTTCTCTTATTACACAATTTCTTACCCTGTCATTCAGATTCAGCCCTAACATACTCCTTAACGACCGCATTTCTACTGCGTTCATTCTACTCTCGTGCTTCTTCTGCCACACCCAACTTTCACTACCATACGTTAAAGTAGGGACCAACACAGCATTGTGAATTGCCATACATGCCTTTTTCGACACATTTTGACTCTTCACAATAGAGTGTAGGGCCCCATTTATTCTATTTCCTGCATTCAAGTCTAACGTCTTTCGAAAATAAATGTAATATTATTGGTTTGATAACAACAGCAAAGTTAATAACTTTATACTTACCATCCTACTTGCCAGAGGTGGGTTATTATGTGCAGATATTGCATTTCATGAACACTTGCTAGTTTTCTCATTCCTGGAAAGGTAACGTCTGGCCACAATGAGGTACACTACATAGTACATTTTTACCGTCAATAATAACTTTAATTGACAATCCCAGTGTAGTTATTAATTCAGAGATTAATTTAATGTTGTATTCAGGATGCGGTACCGCGAACGGGAACGCCACAGTTATACGAGAAGTGGCAGAATTATAAAGGGTCGTGGTGTATTTGTGAGTATTATGATTAAATAACATTATTATTATTTATAAATTACACTGTAGGGCTTCTATCATTGTCTGTGTATTGTTCTCATTCATTGGATGAAAGAAATAAGAAAGAAAATTTATTAATCAAATGTGCAACAAACACTATTATGTAATTATAATATTATATTTATAGATAACCAAAGTATAGCATTAAGTTATATTATAAAAAATAACTATGTAACAGACAATTTTTTTTTTCATGAATATCTGAAAAAACATGCACTAAAGAACACTATAACACATTTAACAAAGATTTATTATTTATATGGCGCTGGACACCGATGGCATGAAATGAAGTCCGTCGTCGCTTTACTCTTTGGAAAATTAGTGTATTTTTTGTATAGTAGCTTAAACATTTATGCAAAATGATTTTATTTGTTAATTTTTAAGGATGAATTAATTAAACACACACACATACACACACGCACACGCGTATGAACTGGTATAGAATTATAGAGTAACCGTTTCTCTGTCCCGTGCGACACGCGTGAACATTTGGATTCTTTTATTATTGTGTCATTTCGTGAACCACCAGGTGTGAAAATGGTTATTAGAATATTGCTGTGGACCGCAGCCCACTTGATAGTAAGTTATTATTGCGATCCATACAAACTTGTAGCCAATTCCAAGCTAGAAGCTACATGTGATGTTACATCTGATGACCAAGAGGGAAGCATATTTACCAGTTAAAAGGTTCTCTGTTTATCTGCACTTACTATAAAAAACACAGCAGCGGTATGCTGCTATTTTACGTTGGTATTCAAGATGAAATTGATGTAGAGTGGTATAAATCCTAAACAGACCTTGATTGTATGTTTTAACATGACAGCAGAAATATGTAGTCAGGGTACCTACTAATGTTCGCCCGAAGCTTCGACTTCAGCCAAATTGATGAAGGTTTCTAGTAAGCGCCGAAATTAAAGGAACTGTTACGAATAAGCTAGAGCACGATGAACGATTTTAGAAATGGTTAAAATTATCTGTTTATGTTAATCACTCAATATAAACTTTTAATTTAAAAGTTTTAAAATCAGTTATGTTGTTAATCTTAGCCAATCTTGAACAAAATTTCTTACGATTTTTGTCTTCGGCTTTGGCTTCGGCCAAAAATCGACCTTCGGTCGGACTAGTACCCAGATCCCTTCAGAATATGCTGAGGAAACCGGCAATATGCTGAGGCCTGATAAACTGAAAAAAAAAACACAATTTTAACCTTTTAGCGCTACCGCACTCCATCGCGTTCGCGGTCTCGTTCCCGCTCGGTGACGCCGCCGCACTGGAGGCAGGCTCAGCGCAGAATCATCAAGCTCTCCGACTTCGAGGTGAGGGCCATACGCTATTTATACCATATTGTTTCGGTAGTTTTTTTTATTTTTTTGTTTGCTTTACATTTAGCAAATTTACCTAATGTCAAAAATATTTTTTATTCAGTAGAAAGACCAAAATTTTGTATTTGCTTATATATTCTAGGTCTAGGTTTTTTGTTCTAAACAAAACATTTATTTAAAACACAATGCGAATCAGATATACATTTGTAATAATAATTGCATTTTCCGAATAAACCAATTTTTAAAGCAATTTTTTATACATGTATAATTATTTGGAAAAATATATTAAACTAAGAGCAGAGTTTCATCAAATAAAAAAAATTATTTATCAACAATGTAATTATATTATTTATAAAACTGTAATTTATAAACAATATAATTACATTGTTTAACTTTTATATTCAGTCAGATTATATTTGATGAATTACTGACGATGACAATGATTGTAAAATCAGCCCTAGCTAAGCTATGCTAAGCTAATTAATTTAAAAAGTAACTGAAAATTTTATAACATAAAAATATTTACAACTTACCAGTCTTTATAAATAAAAAGAAATATTATTCATTATTGGTGAAATTTAGAATTTAATTTATGGATTTTATCGTGTTTAATTCCCTAGCGTTTTTTTTTATATGTTACTTTTTTTATTTTCCCGACGTTTCGAATTAAGAATTTATTATCCCGTATTTTTTTGTTCCATATGACCTTACGCCAATTAATTCCATCCAACTTAAAGGGAAATATAACCTCAAATGGTTTAGCAAGATCCTCCGTTATGCCGAAAATATTGCAGCATTAATTTTGAAATAAATATATGGTAAAATTGAGGATTAATGTTAAGGATTATGTTAGACGAAAACACGATTCCGTAAAATTTTCTCGATAGAAAAAAAATCCAAAGTTTACTCCAAAATAAACAATAAACATGTTATTCATAAAATACTTTAAATAAGATCATGAAACTTTGCATACTAACTGAACTAACTATAAAGCAGTGCTTACGTTATTTACTTTTTTTTAAATACCATTATTTTCACTGTAAAAAGAAATTACCTAAACTATCGGCCTCTTGAAGCATGATTCCTGCCGTCCGGTCAGTTTCGCTTCGGCCTTTGAAGGGGGAGGTTGTGTCGCTTACGATCAGAATACACATTACGCAACAGGACGACGTAAAATTAAAATGGGATATAACCGTAATAAAAATAAGAAGCGACTGGCTTGAAGTTAAGAAACGGGCATAAATATGATAAACCTAATGAAATAAGTGTCTAACGACCTATCTAATTACAGTATAGTGATTACAAACATGTCGGTACATAGCATACGACGCGCGGGGGAAGTGGGGGCTAAATTAGAATTTGAGCTGACTTACTATATCCCCTTAACTACTTTTTGACAATTTGTATATCATACTATAGTAAATTGAGATGATTGCTACCGAGATATTTCTAATTTGTTTTATGTTTATTAATTGTGTAACATACATGATTGTAAGCTGTTATTTATTTAAAGTCACGCTGGGTTTCTTGCTGGTTCTTCACAGTACACAGGTTTTTTTCGAACCAGTGGTAATTGAACAAAAGAGTGACTTACAATGAATATTATTTACTTATTATTTATGTTGAATGAAAAAAATTCTGTTAGGTGCGGTATAAATATGCTATATCGTTGTTTAGCGACTTCTAGCATCTGTAAACAAACCAAATGTATGTTCAGGAACGCATGGACCAGGAACGCGCTGAAAGAGAACTCCAGGAGCCGAAGAAGAGGCCCGCCGATAAACCTCCTCTTAGTAAGTTTCCAAATCGTATATGTTTCCTGAGGCTTATAAAGTTTTTGGGGATAGATAGTAACTAAGAATCTTCAAATACAATTGGTTTTGTGTTATAAGGATGCTGACAACACCTTGTGTATTGTCGGATTCACAGACCACCCAGCCTACGAGACATGAAACCATTACGATTCTCTAATTAAATTAGTCTGTCAAGGTTAGAAGAAAGAAAGGTGTGCGGGTGGCGCGTGAGATGTAACTTAGAGATGTGTCACATCCATATATCGACGCGTAAATATGAAAGACTATACAAACATAACGTAATTATAAACAAATGAATGATGCGTTAAATACGCCGTCGAATACATGTAAAGTTCTTCTTAAGATATACATGTATTTTACATGTCATTTACAACGTTAATCGCTTACCATAAATTCGGTAAGAGCGGAATATGCCTAAGAAATACACAAACATAATACATACTCTAGAAAACCATGATTTTGCTTCGTCCTCGGCCGCGTCAGTCAGGTGAAAATATCTATATTAGGTAAAATTAACGTAATATAAAAATGTAAATGAAAATTACTTTTATTAATTAATTAGGGTTTGTAAAACTGTAATTTCGATTTCAAATTATAATTACAAATAGATTACACAAATATAATAGAACGACTGTTCGTCTACACAAAAAATAATAAAACAATAAATAGTCGATAAACTTGCATCGATACTTTTTTGAGCATCTCTACTTACACGTGCTGCCTGCAGCCCCTCTGATGGATAGACAGAGACGGTACTATAATACTGCGTGCTTGACAAAGGCAGCCTCATAACTACGACTAGAACAAGTTGAACCCTCACTTTTTTAGTATTTTAAGATTATTAAATGTTGCACTTACCGGTCAAACGGTGATTTTATCCTTTAAATTATGTTTCCTGTTATCACTATCACATTACTTTACTGCGCAAGTAGACTGTGTGTTTTACTGTTTTTTTTTTTATTTTAAAAAATTCTAGCGCTAAGGACGCAGTGCACAGGTCTGTTGTCTGATAACTACTAAACAGGGTAGCGTTCGTTTTCAACAACATAGGCTCTGGTTGAGCACATGAAGTACAGAAATTTGTCGCCTTTCGTTACATGTCTCGATGGCTGGGTGGTCTGTGGTTGGATTGCATAGAACAGAAATAGAAGCACGATTCGCTTGTAACTACCCTATTACCATACATAAAATAATTAATAACTTAAAAATAAGTTAAGTAATCGAAACTGAAGAAAAATACAAACTCAAGGATAAAGGTAAGTTAACCACACAATATAATACACAACACTTAGATTTATGATTTGCTTCTTTAATTGGTTTGCAAGTTTACGCTAACGGTAAAGTTGCTCCCCATTATTCGATTTTTCATACAAACTTGAAAATATGTGTCAGGGTTGTTAACAATCCTCGATTATGTACTTTACTTGAAACTGTTTGTTTAAATCTTGTCACAATAATTTCTTAGGTAAAACTCTTAAATATAACAACCAAAAATTACTCTCCTCTAAAATTACATATCAATTTAGTGCAATAACAAGCTTCAATCAATTATAAATAATAAATATATTTCATTTAATTTCATTGTATAGATCCTCCGGCCACCTGCACTAACCAAGCGAAACGCAGAAACAAAGTTTGCATAAACACAACAAAGCTTGATGCCGTTTTTGAATAAGTGGAGCAGGATCAGCTTAAGCAGTAGTTGCGACTCGGCCAAGGAATTGAGGATTGACCACAAAACAGCTATGATCCATTTGAAAAAGTCTGGCTATACAAAAAAAACTCGATATTCGGGTACCACACGAGCTCACTGAAATAAATTAATGAATCGTACAACAAGAACATGCGAAAATGATCATGGTCAAAGGGTATTCAAGCTCCACAGATTAGCGAAACCGGATTAACACACAATAAGGTATTATGTATGGTGGGATTGGAAAGGCGTCGTATAATATGAACATTTACCGCCGGGCAAAACCATCGATTTTACTGCCCACAACTAGTGAGACTCAAGCAAGAAATTAAGAAAAAACGGCCGGAATTGATCAACAGAAAAGGAGTGGCCTTTCATTATGACCTCACACATCTTTGGCCACTCAGCAAAAATTGAGAGTTTGATTGGGAAGTGTTAATGCATCTGCCATATAGTTCTGGCCTTGCACCCTCAGATTTTCACCTGTTTCGGTCTCTTCAGGATTCTTGGGGTAGGGTTAGGGTTAGGGTAGGGTTCTTAGGGTACATCAAGGGAGGACTGTCAAAACTACTTGTCGCATTTTTGATAAAAAAAATCCTGAGATTTCTACAGCAACGGGATTATGTAACTACCCACAAGATGGCAACACATATTATATTATATTTAATATTAAACTTCCCCGACCTTATACATAGACTATAAAGTACAAAACCATTCCTTTGTATCGCGGTAATCGAGTAAAATATAGGTAGAAAGTGACAACCCTTGGTTGTAGTAAATTATTGTGAAATGAATGTCAGATTTTGACAACTAATGTGGCAACTTTTCCAAGTCCGTTGTATAGATAAATGTTAAGACCATGTTAAAATGAAATATTACATTTCCTAACCATTAATATTACGTTATTACAAAGATGTAGATACATGCATTCAGTATTTCAAACAAATTCAACAAAAGTTCTGGAGCACTGAACAAGAAGGTTACGTCGCCGGCACAATTCGGCGTTAAAAAATGTCTAAATTAACTTTCTAGTTGCCATATAGACAGCACTGTTGTCAATTAGGTTTTAAATTTTAATTTAAAATGACATCCCGAAAAACTTTACGTTGTCCGTGTTAATCGTTATTTTGTAACTGTACATACATGATGGCATAGTAAACTTCCATCGATAAAGTTGCCAGATTTGACTGTACTACAGCTTACAATTTTTTATCGAAAATTTCCAAATATGTGTTTTGAGTTCTTTGATATATATGTTCAAGATTAACATGTTTATTCCGCTGCCATAAACTGTATAGATTTAGCTAAAAATACTTAAACCATCTAAAACAGCATACAATCTTATGCGTACAATAAATACATATTTAAAGTGTTATTGACGGCTGGCACAAAAAATAAATGACAATACCAACATAATAATATAAATACTAGTGATGCAACGAATACTACTTTTACAAATACTAATACAAATATCAAACCTACTATTTGGCGAATACGGATATCTCGCCATGGTAATGAAAAACTAATTTATTTGATGATTTCTATTGTTCTAATAATTAAAATTTACAACAAGCAAATTTTTATTTAAATAAAGTAAAATTTGTAGGCGGTTTCTTTTTTCAGTCTGTATGTTCCCCGCCGTTGAAAGAAGCTTTTCCGAGGCGACTGTACATGGTTTCAGTGAAAAATATATTTGGGCGAGTTTTTAAGCCTTGGAAAATGGACATCTTCTCGCCAAATAAAAGGCCAATAGATCAGAGGCAAGATTTAAGACTTCGTATTATTGGGATTGCTTGAGATAACGTCGTTGATTGTTTGCTTAGCTCTTTAGAAGCTTCTTCAAAATTGGCCAGAATATCAATAATTTGGCTCATAGGAGCCCAGAGATGGCAAAACGTCTTGAATCGCTATACGTTGTTCATTTAAACTCTTCAACATCTAATATGTTGAGTCCCATCTAGTTTTAACATCTCAAAACAAAATATGTTTCGGTATATTGTTAGCTTGTTGAGAATCTTTCAGTTGTTTGAGTGTTAAAATGACTAATAACTATCCTGCCCTTGTGTAGCCGTCGTTGCGGCTTAGGGCCTATGCAAATGTCGTATTTTTTACGTGCCGACGACGCGCGTTTTCAAAGTGCCAGTAATTAGAGTTGCGTACAAAAAATAAAAATAGAATTATGTATGAAGGAGTTAGACTTGGAGAATGTATGGCAAAATGTAAAGAAAGGTTTAGTGGATGCAGCTACCGAAGTATGTGGTGTTAGTAAGAGAAAGAATGAAAGGAAAAATAATACGTTATGGTGGGATGATGAGATACGTATGGAAGTTGAAGCAAAGAAGAGAGCATGGCTAGATTTACTAGCAACAAAGGCTGCTAATTCTAGTGGTACGAATGGTGATATTGAAAGAAAAAAGGCAGTCTTTAGACATCTTAATAAGAGAGTAAAAGAAGTAGTTGAAAGAAAAAAGCAAGAAAGAACGGATAAGAATGATAGAAGAATATCGGATAACTTCCAGGCAAATATTAAAATGTTCTGGAAACTTGTAAGAACTGCCAGGGGACATTTAAAACAGCCTATGATGAATGTTATAAGAGACGAGAATGGCTATATTCTGAATGATGAAGTTTTGAGTTTAAAGAGATGGAAGGAATATTTTGAAAGCGTGTTTATGAGTGAGGAGACAACGTGTGTACTAAGTGAAGTAGAAACTCCGAAAGAAGAGCAAAGAGGTTGCGGGATAAGTACAGATGAAATAATGAAAGCAATGAAAAGCATGAAAGCAGGTAAGGCTGCCGGATATGATAGAGTTTCACTCGAAATGCTAAGGGCTGGAGAGGAAGTCGTGGCAGGCCTGCTGCACACCTTGTTTAATTTATGCTGGGAACTGAAGCGGGTACCGATAGACTGGTGCAAAGCCGTGATAGTCCCAGTATATAAAGAAAAAGGGTCGCAGCAGGACTGTAAAAACTATCGTGGCATCAGCCTTCTTAGCATTGTGAGAAAACTGTATGCTAAGGTACTGATTGAAAGGGTCATGAAAGAAACTGATGGAAAAATTTGGGATGTGCAAGCGGGATTCAGAAAGGGAATGGGATGTACAGATCAAGTCTTTTCCATGCGCATGATCGCGGAGAAGTTTTTGGCCAAAAACCAAAACGTTTTTTGTGCGTTCCTGGATTTGGAAAAGGCCTATGACAGAGTGGATAGGGATGTGCTATGGCAAACACTGAACTCATTTGGGTTGAGCGCTGGCTTGATACAGGCATTGGAGTCTCTTTATAG